AATCCAGTGAAGAAATGGGCAGAAAACATGAATAGACACTTCTCTAAAGAAGACATCCAGATGGCCAACAGGCACATGAAAAGATGCTCAATGTCGCTCCTCATCAGGGAAATACAAATAAAACCACACTCAGATATCACCCCACGCCAGTCAGAGTGGCCAAAATGAACAAATCAGGAGACTATAGATGCTGGCGAGGATGTGGAGAAACAGGAACCCTCTTGCACTGTTGGTGGGAATGCAAACTGGTGCAGCCACTCTGGAAAACAGTGTGGAAGTTCCTCAAAAAATTAAAAATAGGTCTACTCTATGACCCAGCAGTAGCACTGCTAGGAATTGACCCAAGGGATACAGGAGTACTGATGCATAGGGGCACTTGTACCCCAATATTTTAGCAGCACTCTCAACAATAGCCAAATTGTGGAAAAAGCCTAAATTTCCATCAACTGATGAACAGATAAAGAAATTGTGGTTTAATACACAATGGAATACTACTTGGCAATGACAAAGAATGAATACGGCCCTTTGTAGCAACGTGGATGGAACTGGAGAGTGTGATGCTAAGTGAAGTAAGCTATACAGAGAAAGACAGATACCATATGTTTTCACTCTTATGTGGATCCTGAGAAACTTAACAGAAACCCATGGGGGAGGGGAAGGAAAAAAAAAGAAAAAAAAGAGGTTAGAGGGGGAGAGAGAGCCAAAGCATAAGAGACTCTAAAAAACTGAAAACAAACTGAGGGTTGATGGGGGGTGGAAGGGAGGGTAGGGTAGGTGATGGGCATTGAAGAGGGCATCTTTTGGGATGAGCACTGGGTGTTGTATGGAAACTAATTTGACAAATTTCATATAATAAAAAAAAAAAAAAGGAGGGAATCAAGTACTGAAAAAAATAAAAATAAAGTCACTAAATATTAGTCTCATCACTATTATTTAACATTTTTTCTTTAAAGGACATGACATAAATTATATTACAATACCTCTACCCTTCTGATCAAAGCCAATTATTTTGTCATTAGGAATCTTATATGAATTACTTCAGCAACACACTAACAATATGTTTTGCCACATAGTGAAGAGGGCATGTGTATGAGGAAACTACACAAAGCACGGAAGGAATAACTGGAAAAGATCAGAGGGAAAACTCGCCAGGCTCACACAAAGCCAGGAATAATTCATCTTACCACCAGTCAGAACAAACAAACAAACAATCTGTAATAAACAAGGAACTGGGTAGAGTACTCAAAAATAGCCTTAATAATATTAGCGTAATTATGCTTTCAAACTATGCTGCTCTAGTCTTAATAAACCTTAGAGGCAAGCCTTGAAAGGATCAAATTGTGTCAGTATTAGTTAGCCACAACTCAAAATAAAGCTCAAGGATATTTACAAGAATAGAAAAATATCCAATATTCAACAAGGTAAAATTCACAATGACTGGAATCTAATTTTAAAAATACCAGTAATAAAAAGTAGCAAAAAAAAAAAAAGATGCATATGAGGAGAAAAATCGTTGCCTCAAAATGTACACAGAACTGACATAAATGTTTGTAATAGCAGGAAATGACAGTAAAATACTTTTTATAACTGTATTTCTTATGTTCAAAAAGCTAAGGATGTTCATGTTAAGTAAAGACATGGCAGGTACAAAAAACAATCCCAAATCAAACTTTTAGAGATGAAAAGTACAGTGTTTGAAAGAAAAAATATCCTGGATGGGATTAAGCAGATCAGACATTGCAGATAAAAAAAATGGTAAACTCAGAAACATCAAAATAGAACATATGCAATGAAACAAAAAAACACCCAAGCATCAGCGAGTAACTTCAATCGGCCAAATATATATGTACTAGCGACACCAAAGGAGAGAAAGAAGAGA